TTTGTGGGGCTTTCTTTGTGGCAAAACTCTCGTCTAGACTTTTGATCAACAATTTCTAACTTTCGATCGTCACAGATTTTGCAGTTGCGTTTCTCGCTGAGATTTGCACTATGTCTTTGAAACGGAGTTCGGTCGATGTCTTAGAGTTTTACGCGCTCGCTTCTCTTGGTAGATCTTCACGCACTCGACGACGAAACGCTTCTGACGCACGATCCTTCCGGCCATTGCTCAAATTGACATTTTGCTGCTGCTCGACGGCCATTCGCTGTTCGCCGATGCCTCACCAGTTGTCCCGCTCGCACATTTGCGCACACAAAGCGCTTACACACTCGAGACGGGCCTCTCTAGCGCGCTCTCGCTCTCGCTCTGGCTCTCCCTCGCTGGCTATGGCCGACGCAGGTATGACGTCAGGTCAGCTATGACGCCCGCTGCGCTCTTTTTGGATTTTCTCAACGGCAGCGGCTGCGAAATTTCTGCATTGCCCAGAGAGATTTTCGTTTGGGTTATTCTTTGTTCCCTTTGGGATTTTGTTTCCGCGGGGAAAATTCTGGATCTCAACCTCAAATATATATACACAATTTATCGATTTTATATTGCACTGATACATTAAATGTTACTCCTCCTAGATGTCATTTATCCAATTAAAAAACTCTCTAGAGTTTATTCTCAAGTGCTGGAGATTTTTTAGTTATACAAAAACATATAAACACTTGCTGAATAGTACTGGAATTAGTGTTATTAAGACTTCACAGAGGAGAGAAGATGTCTCTTTGCACAATAAAGAAGCCTTCAGAAGCAGCGATTCCTTTTTACAATTCAAGCTAAATTCGATATGCAAAATATAGATTCAATTGGATTAAAAACCAGACATCCTTTGGTATCTTTGAATTCCTTTGAATTTTTCTTTAGAGAATTAACGGGTGCTAAGAGAAAGCCCTACGAAATATTTATACGGCTTTGGGTTTGTGTCCATTAAAATCTTTTTAGCTATTATATAATCATCAGTTGAAGATCATCGTAAAGCTTCCTCGTGGTCGACCTTCAACCCTAGCGATCGATGGGAACCCCACGGAAAGGTTCATTATGCCTAATTAGTGAATTCCCACACGCACACGTACCGAGAAAAACACATCGCAAGGCACTGAAAATCGAAACTATATGAGTACGAGCGGAAAGTCAAATTTCCGGATATAATTATCTGCCTGCCTGCCTGCCATGGCGGCGATCAACAAAAATACCCGATTAATACGGAGCGCGCGAACTTCCGCTGGAAAAGACGATCCCCGGCTTAGGTAACCAAACCCCAGGACGAAAAGAAGCACCGTTGTAGAAAAACCGCCAGCAGGGTTTTGCCCCTGAACGATAAGGTACCTGGATATGTTTATTATATTATTAATAAAGTATATAGTTTGTTATTTATATGATACATCAATAATAGAAAGAAATAACGTTGTAAGTATGTAAACAAAGACAATAAAACTCATGACTTTGGATCAAATATTAAAAAGATATTTATTTATGGCTGCATATCAAATGTAATCTCTAAACTTTATTTTGCAACATATAATTATAATATTGAGTGAATAATTTGTGCATATGTACATATGTACATATGAATATGTATGTACGAATATGTAGAAATAAGACTAACCTGCTAAGATAAACAACAGAAGAAGTCTGGCTTGACTGTTATTATACATATGTATATATCGGGCATAATACTACTACAGACTTTAAATTCAAATTGGAAGATTATTTGCCAAATTAGTCGATAAATTTATTTTTTTATGTTTTCTAGAAATTGTATTCAGGTGTCACTTTAAGTAGTGTTGAAATCCAGAATATATCCAAATAAGTGTATGAAAGAAGCATACACATGAAGGTAGTTGGAATTACTTAGTGGTGATATAAGGGAAGACACTCTCTCAGAGGCGTCTGTTCGTTTCTGAAACTCTACTCAGTAAAGCAATGTAATCCCTGAACTGAAATTGTTTGAATAAATTGTGACTTCATTTGAATCTGAGACTTGGATATCAATATTTTTGGGACAACATGGACAACGCCTCCAAAGTGAGAAATCGCTGGCATCTACATGATCTTTACACCATATTTCCGATGGGGTTGCTCATTCAACATTCAGTGCCGACTTTTCGGATGCCTGGCCCGAGGAACTCGTTCCAACTGCCACAGATGGTGGCAGCTGATCCGCGCCGCAAAGTATTCCACAGAAATGCTGCCTGGGTGGGTGCTAAACGTTTTTTGTTTTGTTTTGTTTTTATGGTGTACGTTTTTTTGCAGTATTTTTTTTCTGTTTTTCAAGTAAAATTTTCTATTTAATTTTCATATGGTATTTTTTCAACATTTAATAGGGAAAAAAACAACAAAAATTAAAAGCTCTTCTTAAATTTTTACCAGTTAAATATTTAATTAATGCCAGCTAAATTTAAAAAAAAATCAAAACAATTTTAAAATGTAATTTTTACTGTAAAACTGTGGAAAAAAAAGATTTGTTTAAGAAAAAAAAAAAGGAAAGTCTCGACTTAACCCACCGAACCACGCTTTGCTTGATTTTGCTGTGCATAATGCAGCATTTATTCCAAAATGGCGCAAATAAAAAGAATTTCTTTAGAAAAAAAAGGTAATCCAGCCCAGCGTTTGAGCCGAGGGACCCTGGATAGAACGACCTGACTTATCCCACTAGACCACATAAATATGTATATAGATGAGTGGTCGGCACACACACTTCCTCGTCAATATTGTACATAAATAAAATATTTCTTTAAAAATTGACGCATTGGACACGCTGCAGTCACGTAGTATATTGATTTCAATTCCGTTTACAAACCGAAATGGCAACGAAATCAAACCAAAGCCGAAATGAAATGAGAGAAGCTTCAAAAGGTATTTTGCGTACCACGTTTTTTGTTTTGCTTGGTTTTTTTTTGGTGGCTTCTTTTTTTTTTTCTAAAGTTGCTTATCTTATTTTGCTTAATGATTTTCGGTGTGTGTGAGTTTTGCGTGGGGGATTGCACAAACGAAACGGTTTCTCGAAGCGGACAACTTTCCATTTTGACAATGCTCTAATCCTGAATGCATCGCAAAAACTGTTGCTGTTACTGTTACTGTTACTGTTACTGTGCGCCTGTGAGTGTGGAGCGTGAGAAGAAACATTTGGTGCACGTAAATCTCGCTCGACAATCAATTAAAATTAAAATATTTTTTGTGTGCCCCAATGTTGCAGCAGCAGCAGCAGAGGCTGGCAGAGCCTGGCAGAGCGAAGCAGTCTACATATTCGAATTGACTTTTGATGATGTATCACGATTTATTGTTACCAAAAATGGTCGTCAAAGCGCGTGGAAAAGTGGATCAGGTAGTCGTCGTCTGCAGGCAGGCAGGCAGCCAGCCAGCCAGCGCGCTGATCGGGTCAGCCAGAGTCTATTGGATGTGGGGACTCCCACAGCTTTTGCGCCTCGTTTTTGCCATAGAGAAACGTGTGGTGTGCGATGCAGCCTCCGAGATTAGGCATCTAGAGGCAGCAGCAGCAGTTGCAAGAGCAGCAGCGGCAACATCAGCAGATGATGGACGCCGCAACATTTGCCGCAGCTGTCAGCGAGAGACCTGAAGATTTTGGGTTTTCTCTTTTTGTTTTAATTGCCACACACACCATACACCACACAACCCCCCACCCACCCATCAGAAATGAGTAGCGCCACACAGCCAATGGGGAGCTGTGGCGCCAAAACACCTACGTAGAGCGGACAAGGCGTGTCTCTGTGTATGTGCATGTTAATTAACGGTTCACGCACACACACACACACATCACAAACACAGCTCGAGAGCGGGCAGACACAAACAATCTCCACTCTGACAGCGGGCACAAATACATACATATACTGGTCCCCCTCGCTAGACAGTGGCACACACATATGAAGACACCCACCGTTAGCGTTTCACACTTATACAGTCTGCCCCCCTTTAGCGGTCGGCACACAGACACACACACACCTCCAGTAATAGTAGTAGTAGCCGCTTGGCCACCCAATAACATGAGCGCCAACTTGTCATTTAAGCCTAGCTCCACCTTAACCTAAAACCAACAAACAAACCAAAGTGTGGCACACACACACACACACGCACCCAATCCACCTCTCTGAAGTGTGTTGAACTTCCGCCAATAGCCACCACAGCACGAAACTTTGGCGCAAGGCCCCCACCTGGCGTTCAGCGCCCGATTCAGTGCAACTTTGCTGCGCGCCCCATTCAAACGTGTTCGTGTCCGTGTCCGCGTTCCGTTTTGTTTCGTTTCGTTTTGTTTTGTTTTAGTTTTCTTTCGTTTTCGTTTCCGATTCGATTCGTTTCGTTTCGTTACGTTGCATTACGTTACGTTACGCTTTGTGTTGACGTTCGCCGGCTTTTGGCGCATGCGTAACCGTCCGTGGTCGTGGCGTGGTCGTGGTCGTGGTTGTTGTTCTTCCTGCGAAGCGAGCGAGCGAGCGTTGCATTGTATTTTGTGGCATGTTGCGTGCGTGCGTTCGTTCGTGTATTGTGTGTCTGATTTGAATGGCGTTTTAAGTGAAATTAAAATGACGGATGTGCTGTAATTTGCACACTCTATAACATAGATACAACACCACACACTCACACACCACATATCCACACACACACACACACAAAGAGTGTCAATAAATACAACAACAAAAAAAATAGAAGATTAAAGAGTGAGAGAGAAATAGAGTATATAACAAGCAGTTTGTGTGGCATGTGTTGTTGCAGCATGTAGCATGTGCCTCTCCAGTTGATCGAATTAAGTGCCAGCTAATGTTCTGCGCCCGCGGGACCGGGACCCGGCACTGCAATTGACTGCCACACACCGGATATGCAAGCGGCGCAACGTTCGTCGAGAGAGAGAAAAAAAATAACAAAAAAAACAAAAACAAAAAGTGTAACACCCCCGCCCAGGAAGCTGCAGCAATAAGTGCTAATCAGTAGTAGCGCAGGCCAGACCAGAACAGACCCCGACGCGGCGCAGGCCCACACCCAACCCTGGCCCCGGATGTAGGGCAATAATTGCCAATTTCAATTTCTCTGCAATTGGAAAAATCTCGAAAATTGTTTGTGTGTGTTTCGTGCCCCAGTCATGTCATGCCCAGGCAACTCGTAAAATACGTACTACGTACGAGTATATCTGGCAATACTCTGACTCCAAGTAACTCTTGACTGCGCGTCACGCACCGCGAACAGGGATCGGAGCGGAGCCTCCCTTTCTGCCACTCTTTCCTGACTGACTTTCCGCCTCGCACTCCCGTTGCACAATGCACAGGCTGGTGCTTCTTCGACTGCTGCACTGGTGGCCAGCGCTGCGTTGGCTGCCCTCAAGCCGCACTTTTGGCAACCCCCCCTGCGTCTGCTGATAAAAGGGGGATCCCACACACAGAGAGAAAGAATCGACAAAAAAAGGGGGGAAACCTACCAGCAAAAGGAACGAACCAGAGACTGTCTTAAAGGTGCGTTGCACTCCCGCTCGCTCGCTCGCTCGCTCGTTGCCGTTTTTGTTGTCATTGATTCCGCGGATAGCATGCGGCAGGGGCAGCAAACGGCAACAGCTGCTGCGACAATACTAGAGACGAGCCACAATAGTTGCAGCGATTATTTCGAGCATCCGCCTTCCTCTGCTGCTCGTCCGCCTCCGCCTCCTCATCCTCCTCTGCCACCACTCCTTGCCACCGCTCTAGCTGTAGCTGTAGTTGTAGTTGTTGCTGCTGTCTTCCGTAACGTGGCCAGAACGTTGCCGGGCAATTATTATTTTGTAAGACGTTTTACAATTTAATGGTTTTCATGGTAAGTACAGCGCAACAGTGCGCCAACGCCATATGCCATATGCCATGCCCCCCCCACCCACCTCTCTCTCTCACTCTCCATCACCAGCTCTACATCCCTCTATGTGGCACCTCAAAGTTTGTTTTAGTCACGAGGGGGAAAGACAGTGGCTAGGGAGGGAGAGAGAGAGAGAGACATATCTGCCACCAACCTGTTGCATTTTTTTAGGGGAAACTTTTAATTCTTATTTTTTATTTTCTTGCAGAATGGACTTGGATCCGACCCTCTGTCAGCAAAGGAGGTGAGTTTTTGCATAAGAATATCACTGGGACTAACTTTAACTTTAACTTTAACTATAACTTAAGCTTAAACTCTCAACAACAAAAAGCTTAAAACGAGATTAATCTGATGGGTTATGCGGATGGAATAATGCCTAATCGGGTTCATCCATCACTGGGGCACTCCATTCTCGTGGGAGTTTCTTCGTTCAAAGAGTATTCATTGACAAAAGTATTGCTTCTATGGGCTGTTCATCTTTTTTTTAAAGAAAATTCGCTATCCAATTTATGATCCATCGATAGATATTCAAGGTGTCTTCCATAGAAGACTTCTGCCTGTGTTTTTAGCTAGTGTTCTCCCATTGCTACGGCCTACAAAGTAGAGGCAAACGATGTCTTTCAGTGGACATTCTATTCCTGTCATAACTTAAGCTCAAATTTAGCAGCTCTCTAAAAACCGTTGTGCTAAAGATCTGCTAATTATGGTCTGGACTCTAGACTGTGGACTCTCCAAAACCTTTAACGATTATGTTTGAGCAGAGTGAAATATTTTCATGCTGGCGATACACTTCGGGCCATGCGAAATGACAATTGCATAGGAATTCCCAGTTGGCCAATTCGTTTGACTGCCTCATAAAACCCATCAATCTGGCTCAAAGGCAAAAGCCGTCGCCACTAAAATAGCAGCAGCAGCAGCAGCTCCAGAGGAGCCACATACCAAGCGTAAGACAATCCATAAAATTGAGGGAATAGAGGGAAAGAATGGGGAGAATGGGGTTCGAAAAAGAAACAGGGGGAAAAAGCGATGCCAACTAATGTCCAGGCGATCATTCTATCAATTGCGGCGCCTATGAGAAATTTCAGCACGTCTCAACACAAATTAGCGGAGCAGAGAGACCATGCAGCGCCCCATAACAATATCATAAAGAAGCTGGAGAGGCAGGAGGCAGAGTAGGCAGGAGGCAGTAGGCAGTAGGCAGTGGGAAGGAGCGTATGAGGAGAGTATTGGGGAATGCCGCCTCCCCATCTCGATAACAATAAATCAGCCGATGGGGCAATTAGATGGGAATAAGAGAAATATAAATATAAATACCTTCGGACAGGGCAACATCAGTCGCGCATATCAATGGAAATCTTCAATCTGCAACATGGATTCGCTACCATCTCGATCTAGATTCTAATCTCCATCTCCTGCTGCATCTCCATCTCCGTCTACGTCTCCGTCTCAATCTCCTCTCGATCTGCGGGAGTTGGCCAATGAAGTTGTTGTCAATGTTGTAGGATATAAAGCAGCCAAAAAGCCAAAGCCAAAGACATTGGCAATTGGCAATTGGCCCCGCGGCTGCCATTCGACACAATCGAAGACAAACTATCTAATCTAATGCTGGCAATGAGCATTTGTTTGTATAAATACGAGTATCTGTTTCTATGGCAGTGGCAGTTGCTGGCAGTATCTGGCATGGCAGTTAGCGGCGACAGCACAGCCACTAAACAACTGCTCTGATCGCGTGGCCAGGTTCTGGGTTCTCCATCCCAAGTCGTCCGTTGTCCGTCCCCTCCACCACGGGCATTGGTTTCGTTTCTATCGCATCGCCCACTCGCCCACTCGCCACTGACATTTTTTCATAATTTGCGCTACAAGCCTGACAATTGTCGTTGTTGCCCACTGGGCACACTCTGGATGTTGGATGTTGGTTGTTGTGTTTCTGTGGTGTTGGTGGCACTGCCGTGTTGTTCGCAGTCGTGTTTCTGGCAGCAGGCATGCTACCCTGGCTACCCTGCAAGTTGAATAGGGTTATTTGGGGTGCTATGTTTGGGTTTAACGAGTTGAGGATACAACTTTCTTATCACCTGATTTCCAGCCAGATGTGATTCAGTTTTATACCTTCTCGATAGACACATTTTTCTTAATATTGGCAGGAATCTCTCTTCATATTATTAATCATTATAAATTACTTCTTACTGCCGCAGCATATGAATAACGTAATATGAACACTTTTCTTTCCTTCGGGGAATTTTCGTATCATCCGTGGATAATCTGTTTACAAAGCAGAAGGCGAACAAATATTCCAATAAAATATTTATGTGTCTTATTATATCTAATACTCTCTTGCGAATAGGAATATATTCTCAATCCTCCATGGTAACTCTGCGTCTAGGCCCTAGCCATAATAAATATTTAATAACTTTTTTTTTTCTAAAACTTAAAGCCAAGTGTTGGCGCTGACGACTCCTCAAAGGTCCCCCCAACAACCCCACCACCCCCATTGAATGCATATGCAGTGCCAAATTAAAATTTATCCATTTTATGGCGCTGCGGGCAGCTCATAACTGTTTCTTTGTTATTTCTTGTGGATTTGGTGGCTTTTTTATATGTATGTATATATTTTGGTTATGGTTTTTATTGCCGTTAGTTTATTGGCTGAGTTGGGGATTTCGTAAGCACAAAAAATGCGCAACAATTGCGGTTTTGGTTTTGGTTTCGGTTTCGGTTTCATTCCCTCGCAATCTCCCTATCAGTAGCACTCTCCTCCCAGAAGATCAGAGCGAACGGCGGAGATACTCGCACGAGCCTGAAAAAGATATCGACGGAAGTCATTTGCGGTTGTTCCAGGCAGATGAATTCAATAAGCAAACAGCTACCAGACACGCACACGCTCAATGGCTACATTCCACTCACACTCACACTCACACTCATACATACATAAATAAATACATACATATACCTATATGTGGACTCGTGTCTCCTCCTCCCCTCTTCAACAATCGGGCAACACTTTCCCATTCTTCATTCTTCGTTCTCCATTGAATGGCATTTTGTCAAACTTGATTAGGCAAAGCATCGGCTATGACTCTATTGTGGATGGATATTGCATATATAATAAGACTCCCCTCTGTTTTCCACTGAGACAATCCTATAATGATAATCTTTATTCTCTTTCTACCATCTCCACCACAGGCAGAGGGCCCTCCGGTTCAGGTTGAACCAGTTGATTTGAGCCTACGTTCGCCGCGCGGTAAGTTGCTAATTATATAGTTAGTTAGTCAAGACCAACATCTGTGGGAAGAGTGTATACTCTACTCTCTTCCAAAAAACAATTAATCAATGAAGTTCTCCACTCGAGAAAATCAGGTCAAAGCCGAAAAAAGAATATCGAAAATCTAAAAAAGAAGACAGAAACCAAAGCAAAGCAAACCAATTTGCATTTCTACTAAAATGAATATTCAATAATTTTGTAGGGTCTATCGAATAGATTGCATGAGAGAGTCTTCTGCAGATTGTTGTGGGTGGATTGTTAAATTTTGTGAGCAGATTTTGCATTCCCGAAATCTTTTGGCACATATTTTTAACGATCGTTGAATCTAGCAGTTAGAAATGAAACTCCTCATAATCAGATTATCTTTTAATATCTTTTATTATTTATGCAGAATCTAAAGGGAACAACGAATGATCACCAATAGATTTGATCTATTTTTGCTAATCAGGAAATCTCTGCTGATAGAAAGTAAATCTTTAGCAGGTGGATTGCAGAATGGGTTCTCAGGATTTGTTATCTGGGCAGTGGCTAAGCGAATTCCGTAATTATAAATTAATTGCCAATTTAAACTAGATTTTTGCCGCGGCGCTTGAACTCCAAAGGAAGTTATCTAATGAAAGTTGATCCTACTTTTGCAGATGAATCTCTTAACGATATGAATTTATCGTTCGCAGACTCACATATTGATATTCAAATATTTCCCATTACGTTCCACAACATTCCCGAAAGCTTAATTCTAAACTGAAGCCTCTGCCAAGGGGAGATTATCCGACAATCTTGCAGACAAGTGGAAACAAAAGCGGAGACAAAACGTTATTCATTGCCTAATGCCGCTCATCAAGTGGAGCCATTCATACATGCATGAATGAGTGCCTGAATGTCTCTGATGAATACGTACGAGTATATCTGTATGATGATCATCAGCAGATCGTCTTATCGATTGGGGGGGGAGGTGGACTGCTGCTGGGGCGCATTAGCTCCATGCTGATTCAGCGCTATCGCTCTATATCCGACGCCAAGCAGGGAGGAACATGACCTGAACCTGAATCTGAACCCAAACCTAAACCTCAGCGAGTACGTACGATCTGGTTTGGGTTTGGGTCTGGGTTTGGGATGTGGTGTGGTGTGGGTTTATGTGTTGGTTTACCCACTTGACCGATCCAACCACCAACTGTTTTGACCATTTGACCTTTGGCAGCCTTTCTCTTTGGCTCAATATGTGTGTGTGTGTGTGTGTGTGTGTATGTGTTTGTGTGTGTGTGCTGGAGTGTGGAGTTTGGAGTATGTGTGAAGTTAACAGCAACGCCCCAAAATGTAGAAGGGAAAAGCTAGAGCTGACTAGATAAATAGATGGTTAGATGGTTGGTTACACGGATGGCCATCCAGGTCGGGCATGGAGCTTCGGTTAGCCGTAGGGTGCCCAGCGGTACACCTAATTTAATTAAGAAGCCAGAGAGCTTACCTTAAATGGCTATACAGTAAGATTAACAGCTAAAAAGCCTGAGCGAAGCGCGTTCATTAAAAGTCCCAATCCCGGTCGCAATCGCAGACGCAGACTCAGACTCAGACGGAGATGGAGACGGAGTCAAAGTTGTTGTCTCGCCGCGCATATTAATCAATTAGGCATGATATTAGTGAGGGCATCATTAATTTTGTCAATGCGCTCACCAAGAAGCACCAGCCACAAAAGCCATTTGAGAAGCGCATAGAGAGGCGAGGCGGCACGGCACGGCAGGGCACGGCAGGGCAATCTCTCATGCTAATGGTTTATGGCGTGCTACCAACCACACAACCATCACACAAACTCCACACCACACCACAGCACACCACTCGAACGAACGACCGAAAGACCGAAAGACCGAACGACCGATCGACCGACAGACAGACAGACAAATCGAGCGACCACCGAGCGGCCAAAAGATCTGTGGCGAATGTGTTAAATAGCGTTAAAATTTGTAAAACAAACGGCACATAATGGTGCGGCTTAATTTCCAACCTTAACGGTCATCAAAAAAGTGTACGAAGCGGAGCCATGGATATCTTCCTCTCCCTCTCCCTTTCTCTCTCTCTCTCACTCCTGTCTAGCGATTTTTCGGCGTACATAAATTATGGGTTTTAAATAATTATGCATTTAGCCAACGTAGCGATAGATAGCCTCAAATTGCCAATGAATGGAGGGCAGGCACAGAGTCAGCGCAGAGACGGTGCTAGTGCCGGTGCTGGGTGCCCCAAGACGATGCCCGAGGAGGAGACAGTGCCAAATTCCCACCAACTCTAATTGCAGGTAACTGCAGGGAGAGGTGAGAGCTCGGTTCTCCCTCTCGCTCCCTCTGGGAATCTGCAGCCGATGCAGAAGATCCCCGGCCAACAACTACAACTTGATTTATTTAAGCTACCCAAACAGCCCATAAATAAAGCTGTTGAACTAGCCACCAGGCCAGGCGGGGCCTGGGGATCGGGTGCAGATCGGGGTGGAGTCAGCGACGGAGCCCAAAAGCAGGAGAGCCCGGGACATCGCAGAGTGCCTTACCCAAAAACAAAAACAACAAAAAAAAAGAGCAAGCAAAACATCTTAAAATCCCACACCACACCAGCACCAGCTACAGCTTCAGCTCCAGCCTGATCCACAGCCAAAGCCTAAGCCACACCACAAGCACACCGGCAGCGGCGACGAGCAAGCGATCGGCCTCTCGCCACTCAGGGGCATAGGCTTTCCAGGTTAAGTAGATGCGGCGACACGCGGGTCGTTGCCAGCGAGCGAACGACCTTAAGACGGAGACCCAACCTCACTGAATCGAACCTCACCTCACCTCAGCAAAACGGTGGAACGGGGACGAAAACGATGTCGGGGCATCCACAGCATCTATCGAATGATATGCAACATTTAGTGAAGTGCCCCCGAGTACCTTTCGGGACAAGGGAATATTGATTGCCAGGTGAAAATGTGACAAACAGGTGGGAGGAAGGCAGGGCCTTTTCAGGCAAGGATACTCCTCTATGAAAAAGAGATATAGGGTAGAATTTATTTGCTATACAATGGCTATACGATCCCTATTTGAGGGCTTACTCTGAAGTCTCTGCTTGCTTTCTTCTGCAACGATCATGGATTAATTTTCAATTACAATTTTATGGAAGAAAACTTCTCGTAGAAACACATTACAGGGCAATGCCCTGGTCTAATCCTTAAATCCATTGAAACTCTGTTACCGTTGCTGCACTTTTTCAACTCGGTGGTTTGCGGGGGTGGGAGCTGCTGCTGATTTGGCATCTGCATCTGAATCTTCCATGGAGTCACTGCTATCTCATAACTGCTGGCGGCACACACAGAGAGGAGAGCCTGAGCCTGCACTCTACAGCTCTGGCTCTTGATAGCCTCGCCCAGATCCGCAGATGCGCAGATTCGCAGATCTCTAGATCCCAGGCCCGCACAAAGCGATTCGGGGGAGGGATGGCCATCCCCAGGACGGACTGTGGTGATTGTTTTTTAATTATGCTTCAGCTGACACCCATGCGGATGACCATTGAAGATGGGACTACTCTCTGGACTCTGTCTCTGTCTGGTGCTGGGTACTGGGTGCTTGGTGCTGGGTGCTGGATCTGGTACTTGGGTTGGGACGCTGGTTAACATGGCGATGGCGCGTATGTAGCGCGCTCCCCGGTCTGTATCGAGTTGACTTGACTTGACTTGACTGAGTGACTGTGACTGGCTTTTGGGGTTATGTGAAAGGTCAAGTTCGTGATCGCATTCAAACATTTTTGCCAACCACTCATCTTGCTGCGCAGATCGGGGCCCAAAGACCAGGCCCAGACCGAGACTGAGACTGAGACCGAGCCCCAGACCCGTCCCGGACTGCAAGGAACACGAGTGTGAGTCGTCGCCGAAAAAAAAAACATAGAGAGAGAGAGAGAGAGATGAGAAGAGAAGAGAAATACCCGACCCAAGCGACGTCGCATCGTAGAAAAATTGAAGATGAGCGTGCCACCACCACGCCACGATTCTGCCATTCCCGTCTCTGTCTCTTTCTCTTTCTCTGTCCCAGTCCCAGTCATAGTCGCAGCTTCAGCTCTCAGACCCCGACTACCTTCCAACTCCCATCTGGTGGATCCCTCCGAGTCCCCCCCCCCCGGTCGACGTCTTCCTCCTGCACCGAATTGAGTGAATGTAAACTGTGGTTTACTTGTTTCCAGCGTTGTCATAGTAATTTTTCTGCACTATAACAACGGAGAGCGTCGCGTCGCCTCCAACTACGAGGTACAACGCCGACTACAAAACTCTGGGGCGATCGGGTGCTCGGATCCTCGGGACAACAGCAACGGTGGCAGCACTCACCCGAAAACATAGGAACAAGCAGAGAAAAATGGAGATGCTGATGACACTGGAGACACGTTGTCTCTGGCAATCGTGCAGCTGACACACCACCACTACCACCACCAGCTTCAGCTTCAGCTACAACGAAATACTAGACAGCATATGCCACATGAAGTTGAAAAGATTACACTGGACAACAGGGACAGGGTGCGGCCTGCCTCTGCTGAAAGGAATGTCGGGAGGGAGGGACAATTGCTGAATGCCTTTGGCAATTGGAAATTGAAAGTTTTTGTGAGCAGTCTTGGGATATTTTTGAGGGAAGTAACCAGCTGCAAGAAGCGAATTATAAATCGAATTCGTTGTTCTACGGAATTTGTTAGACTTCTCGCTAACATAACATACGGTATACTCGTACATATTGCGGATCTATCCAGCTATCCAGTTCAACTTAAACAAAGCTTCCATTCAAGGGGGCCACCTGACCTGCGAGAACTATCTCTTCAGCTAATCAAGAGCCACTCAAGAGCCCCTTAAGCAGTTCCCCCCGTGAACCCGAATGAAAGTTCTACAGTGCCCTTTGGGTGGAACCACATAAATCAATGTCCCCGCCCGGACGACCGGAGGTTGAAGCGAAACCTGCTGCACAGTGTTCGTTCCAGGGCAGACGTGT